CTTTGCGGACAGAGCGGTGGTGCGGCAGCATCTCGCAGTCCCGTCTCCGTGAGGAACTCCGCGTTCGTGAGCGGATTGGTGCGCGCATACGATCAAAGCCCTGTCTCGTTGACGATCGTCGGCCACCTGTTCGTCGCTCAGCTGTTTGTCTAGAAAGTCTGGCGATGCGACGCACGCCCCCTGCCAGTCCTGCGAGCGATAGACACGTACGGGTGAGGCGTGCGCATGACAGGCAGAGAGCAGCGAGGCGGCGAGGAGATGGGAGGAAGGGAGAGGACGGTGAGGAGGAGGGAGAGAGGGAGAGGACGGTGAGGAGGAGGGAGGAAGGGAGAGGATGGTGAGGAGGAGGGAGAAAGGGAGGGACGGGGAGAGGAGGGAGGAAGGGAGGAGGACGGGGGAGGAGGGGAGGAAGGGAGAGGACGGGGAGGAGGAGGAGGAAGGGAGAGGATGGGAGAGGAGGGAGAAAGGGAGAGGACGGGAGGAGGAGGGAGGAAGGGAGAGGACGGGGAGGAGGAGGGAGGAAGGGAGAGGATGGTGAGGAGGGGGAGGAAGGGAGAGGACGGGGAGGAGGAGGGAGGAAGGGAGAGGACGGGGAGGAGGAGGAGGAAGGGAGAGGACGGGGAGGAGGAGGGAGAAGGGAGAGGTGCGAGAGGAGAGAAGGGAGAGGATGCTGAGGGGAGGGAGGAAAGGGAGAGGTGGGAGGAGGAGGGAGAGAAGGGAGAGGACGGGGAGGAGAGAGCGGAGGAAGGGAGAGAGGACGGGGAGGAGGGAGGAGGAGGAGGAGAGAGGAGGGTGAGGAGGAGGGAGGGAGGAGGGATGGTGAGGAGGAGGGAGGAAGGGAGAGGATGGTGAGGAGGAGGGAGGAAGGGAGAGGATGGTGAGGAGGAGGGAGGAAGGGAGAGGATGGTGAGGAGGAGGGAGGAAGGGAGAGGACGGCGAGGAGGATGGAGGAAGGGAGAGGATGGTGAGGAGGAGGGAGAGAGGGAGAGGACGGTGAGGAGGAGGGAGAGAGGGAGAGGACGGTGAGGAGGAGGGAGGAAGGAGGAGAGGATGGTGAGGAGGAGGGAGGAAGACGGAGAAGGACGGGAGGAGGGGAGGAAGGGTGAGGATGGTGAGGAGGAGGGAGGAAGGGAGAGGATGGTGAGGAGCGAGGAGGAGGGGAGGGGATGGTGAGGAGGAGGGGAGGAAGGGAGAGGATGGGAGAGGAGAGGAGGAGGAAGGGAGAGGCATGGTGAGGAGGAGGTGAGAGGGAGGATGTGGGAGGAGGGAGGAGGGAGAGGACGGGAGGAGGAGGGGAGAAGGGAGAGGATGGTGAGGAGGAGGGAGGAAGGGAGAGGACGGTGAGGAGGAGGGAGGAAGGGAGAGGATGGTGAGGAGGAGGGAGGAAGGGAGAGGATGGTGAGGAGGAGGGAGGAAGGGAGAGGATGGTGAGGAGGAGGGAAGGAAGGGTAGAAAGGATGGATGAGGATGGGGGTGGGGAGGAAGGAGAGGACGGGGGAGGAGGAGGGAGGAAGGGAAGAGGACTGGTGAGGAAAGGGAGAAGGGAGAGGATGCTGAGGGGGAGAAGGGAGAGGATGCTGAGGTGGAGAAGGGAGAGGATGCTGAGGGGGAGGGAGGAAGGAGAACGGAGGCGAGGGAGGAAGGGAGAGGGAGGAAGGGAGGACAGGGAGGTGGTGGGAGGAGGAGGAAGGAGAGGAGCTGAGTGAGGAGGAGGGAGAGAGCGGGAGAGGATGGTGAGTGAAGCGAGGGAGGAAGCGGAGAGGATATGGTGGGAGGAGGGAGAAGGAGGGAGTGAGGAGCGAGGAGAGCGGATGAAGGACGGAGGAGGAGAGGAAGGGAGAGGAGTGGGAGGAGGGAGGGGAGAGGAAGGGAGAGGGGAGGAGGGGAGGGAGGAATGGTGAGAGGGAGGAAGGGGAGGCGAGAGAGGAGGGTGGGGAGGAGGGGGGAGGAAGGGGTAGGATGTGTGAGGGGAGGGAGGGAAGGGAGAGGATGGTGAGGAGGAGGACGGAAGGGGAGAGGATGGTAGAGGGAGGAGGGAGCGAAGGATGGAGTTATGGTGAGGAGGAGGGAGGAAGGGAGAGGATGGTGAGGAGGAGGGAGGAAGGAGAGGATGGTGAGGAGGAGGAGGAAGGGAGAGGATGGTGAGGAGGATGGGAGGGAAAGGGAGAGGATGCGTGGGGAGGAAGGGAGGGATATATTTGAGAGAGAGAGGGAGAAGGAATTGAGGAGGGATGTGGAGAGAAGGGGGGATGGAAGGGAGAGGAGGGGAGAGCGAGAAGGAGAAGAGGTGAGGAGGGAGGGAGAGAAGGGAGAAGGATGGTGATGGAGGAGGGAGGGAGAGGACGGGGAGGAGGAGGGAGGAAGGGAGAGGATGGTCGAGGAGGAGCGGGGAGGGAGAGGATGGTGCAGGAGGAGGGAGGAAGGATGGAGGACGGGGCGAGGAGGGAGGAAGGGAGAGGACGGGAGGAGGAGGGAGGAAGGAGGAAGGGAGGGAGGATGGTAGGAGTGAGGGAGGAAGGAGAGGATCTGGTGAGGAGGAAGGGAAGGAGAGGATGGTGGTGAGGAGGAGGGAGGAAGGGAGAGGCATGGTGAGGAGGAGCGGAGGAAGGACGAGGATGTGTGGAGAGTGAGGGAGGAAGGGAGGGATGGTGAGGAGGAGGGAGGAAGGAGGGACGGTGAGGAGGAGGGAGGAAGGGAGAGGATGGTAAGGAGGAGGGGAAAGGAGCAGCGATGGTGAGGAGGAGGGAGGAATGGGACGAGGATTGGTGAGGAGGGGAGGAAGGAGAGAGGATGGTGAGGAGGAGGGAGGCAAGGGAGACGGATGGTAGAGGAGGAGAGAGGAAGGGAAGGGAATGAGTTGAGGAGGAGGGAGGAAGGAGAGGATGGTGAGGAGGAGGGAGGAAGGGAGAGGACGGGGAGGAAGAGGCGCAGGAAGGGATGAGGACTGGTGAGGAGCGGGGAGGAGGGAGAGGTGGTGAGGAGGAGGGAGGGGAAGGGAGAGGTATCGTAAGGAGAGAGGAAGGAAAGGGAGAGGTGCGTGAGGGGAGGCGAGGAAGGGAGAGGATGGTGGCGAGGAGGGAGAAGGGAGAGGATGGCTGAGGAGGAGGGAGCGAGGGAGGAGGATGGTGAGGAGGTGGAGTAGGAAGGGCAGAGGATGGTGATTGAGGAGGGAGGAAGGAGAGGACGGGGGAGGAGGAGGAGGAAGGGAGAGGATGGTGAGGGGAGGAGGGAGGAAGGGACCGAAGGATGGTTGAGGAGGATGGAGGAAGGGAAGGATGCGTGAGGAGGGGGAGGAAGGGAGGAGGAGTGGTGAGGAGGAGGGCAGCGAAAGGGAGAGGGATTGGTGAGGAG